CGAAGATAGTGTAAGGAGCCTCTGGGACAGCTTCAAACGTACCAACATCTGAATTATAGGGGGTACCAGAAGATGAGAGAGAGCAAGATATTTGAAAACCTATTTGAAAGAAAAATGACAGAAAACTTCCCCCACCCTGGTGAAAGAAATAGACTTCCAAGTCCAGGAAGCGCAGAGAACCCCAAACAAAAGGAATCCAAAGAGGACCACACCAAGACACATCATAATTAAAATGCCAAGAGCAAAAGACAAAGAGAGAATCTTAAAAGCAGCAAGAGAAAGAAACTCAGTTACCTATAAGGGAGTACCCATACGACTGTCAGCTGATTTCTCAACAGAAACTTTGCAGGCCAGAAGGGAATGGCAAGAAATATTCAAAGTGATGAATAGCAAGAACCTACAACCAAGATTACTTTATCCAGCAAAGCTATCATTCAGAATTGAAGGTCAGATAAAGAGCTTCACAGATAAGGAAAAGCTAAAGGAGTTCATCACCACTAAACCAGTATTATATGAAATGCTGAAAGGTATCCTTTAAGAAGAGGAAGAAGAAAAAGGTAAAGATACAAATTATGAACAACAAACATGCATCTATCAACAAGTGAATCTAAGAATCAAGTGAATAAATAATCTGATGTACAGAATGAACTGTTGATTATAATAGAATCAGGGACATAGAAAGGGAATGGACTGACTATTCTTGGGGGGGAGAAAGGGGTGCGGGAGATGGGGGAAGAGACTGGACAAAAATCGCGCACCTATGGATGAGGACAGTGGGTGGGGAGTGAGGGCGGAGGGTGGGGCGGGAACTGGGAGGAGGGGAGTTATGGGGGGGAAAAAAAGAGGAACAAATGTAATCTGAACAATAAAGATTTAATTAAAAAAAAAAGAATCTTGTGCAAGAAATTTGTTATTGTAATTGCTTACTTTAAAAAAGAAGAAAGATCTCAAATCAACAACCTAACTTTACAACTTAGGAACTATATAAAGAATATACTAAATTCAAAGCTACCAGAAGGAAGGGAATAATCAAGATTGGAGTGGAGATAAATAAAATACAGAATGGAAAAACAATAGAGAAAAATCAATGAAACCAAAAGTTGGTTCTTCAAAAAAGATTAACAAAATTGATAAACCTTAAACTAGATTGTCTTAAGAAAAAAAGAGATTAGATTCAAAACACTTGCCCTGGCCAGTTTGGCTTAGTGGATAGAGAGTTGGCCTGGGGACTGAAGGGTCCCAGGTTTGATTCTGGCCAAGGGCACGTGCCCGGGTTGCGGGCTTGATCCTCCCCCCTCCCCCCCCCAGTAAGCGATGCTCAGGAGGCAGCCAATCAGTGATTTTCTCTCATCATTGATGTTTCTATTTCTCTAGCTCTCTCCCTTCCTCTCTAAAATCAATAAAAAATATATTAAAAAAAAAAGATTCAAATCACTAAAATCAGAAATGAAAGTGAGGATATTACTACCAATTCTACAGAACAAATGAGAATTATAATAGTACTATGAATAATTGCATACCAAAAAATTGGATAACTTAGATGAAATGGACAAATTCCTAGAGACACAAAACCTACCAAATGGAATCATAAAGAAATAGAAAATATGAGTGAATCTATAAATAGTAAGGAGATTTAGTCAGTATAAGCATTTGACAAAATTCAACACCCTTTCATGATAAAAATGCTCAAACTAGGAATAGAAGGAAACTACCTCAACATAATAAAGGCCGATTATGACAAACCCACAGCTAACATGATTCTCAATAGTGAAAGACGGAAAGTTTCTTTTCTAAGATCAGGCAGAGACAAAGATGTCTGCTTTTGCCATTTCTACTCAAAACAGTATTGGAAGTCCGAGCCAGTAATTAGGCAAGAAAAATAAATAAAAGGCATCCAAATTGTAAAGGAAAAGGTAAAATTTGGATATGATATGATCTGTTTGCATATGATATGATCTTATATGTAGAAAACCCTAAAGATCCCACAAAAAACAGTTAGAACTAATAAATTCAGCAAAGCTGCAGGTTACTAAATCAACTTGTAAAAATCAGTCGTGTTTTTATATACAAACAATGAACAATTCAGAAAGGAAATTAAGAAAATTCCATTTACAACAGTATCAAAAAGAACAAAATAGAAAAACCAAGATGGTGGCATAGGTAAACACTGGAGTTTGCTGCCTCAAACAACCACTTCAAAAATACAACTAAAAGACGGAACGGACATCATCCAGAACCACAGGAAGGCTGGCTGAGTGGAAATTCTACAACTAGAAGGAAAGAGAAAAGCATACCAAGACAGAGGAGGCGCAGTGCAGAAGTAAAATACTGAGGTATGGAGGTGCATGTGGAGCGGGCTGGCGGCCGAGGGCGCGGTTGTCGTTTTCAATTGGGAGGGAGTCTCAGGCTCTGAGCTCCAGTTCCGGGCGAGTCTCTAGGGACCCAGACTCATATGGGAGAAGTGGGACTGTCTGGCATTGGTCGGAACCTGAGGGCAGCTTTCTCTCCGAGGGGCTTGCAGCGATTACCTGAACACTGAGAAGCAGAGCCTCTGAGGGCAAGTCTGAGAGCAGCCATAACTGCTAGCCCTGCCCTGTTGATCCCGTGGGACCCGCCCCGCCCAACCCCTCCAGGGAGGCTTTTGCTGGATAGCCGCAGGCAAAGGCTAGATTAGCACCTCCCTAGAGATCCATGAGCCAGGAAGCCCAGAGGTCAGAGTGGGACCATCCAGTTTGCAGCTCCCTGGAAACATAAAGGACACACTCAGGGGGCAGACTCAGTGAGCACCAAAGCCCCATTGAA